CTTGGGTTATGTCTTATTATCGGTCGTTCATAAAAGAGTTCGCGAACATTGTGGAACCGCTGATAGCAATTAAAAGAAAGAAAAGTAAGTTTACGTGGACAGCAGAGGCAAATACAGCATTTGAAAGGTTAAAAGAAGCGCTCATCAATGCCCCTGTTTTGAAATTCCCGAAAGGGGACGAAAACCTGGAAATTGCAACAGATGAGTCGGACTATGCCGTTGGTGTGGTGCTCATGCAAAATGGCTTTTTTTAGTAAAACTTTAAACTCAATGCAAAGGAATTATACAGCTACAGAGAGAGAAACATTAGCCGTATTAATGGCTGTACAAATTTCGAGTTTATTTTTTATTTTCTCCAGAGTTTCTTTTCGGATCATGCGGCTGTTGGTAGACTTTACTCGGGGAAAAACCTAACGCCCAGGTTAATAAGATGGGCTTTAAAACTCCAAGAATATAATCTCATAATCAAATATAAACCGGGTAAGGAAAACAATGTAGCTGACGCACTTTCTCGTATAAAACTGGACGATGAAGGCAATGAACTTCAAATGCGCTGTGTTGACTTCAAAAAATTTTAGATTCTAGAGAATACAATTATTGCTGAATTGAAAGCTGATCCTGAATTTGGAAGTATCTATGCGTATTTGAAAGACCCCGAAAGCTTTGAACACACAGATATCGATGCGATAAGAAATAGAGCAGAGAAAACTATGAAATAATAGATAATTTATTATTTTATACGAAAACAACAAACGAAAATCTTCGAATACAAACCAGTCATCCCAGCCTCGCTTCGATTAAGCATTTTGAAGGAAGGAATTACACGACGCGAAAACAGCGGGTCATTTAGGGGTCAGAAAGACTTTAAAAAGGGTACGCGAGGCGGTATATTTCCCGCAATTATACAAAATAGTAACTGCGTATGTCAGGTCCTGCAATCAATGTCAGTTAATAAATGATATTAATTACAGCCCGGCCGGGTACTTAAATAGCATTCGCGCTACATTTCCGAATGAAATTTTAGGCATAGATCTTCTTGGTCCTTTTCCCCAGAGTGAGTTAAATAAAAATCGTTTTCTTTTAGTAATTGTAGATCATTTTTCAAAATGGACAGAAATTGTTCCACTTAAAACGCGTCAGTCCAAAACAAAACAGTCGCAGATGCATTCTTACAAAGATACATTTTAAAATAAAAGTCATTAGCGATAACGGTAAACAATTCGTTAGCCAAATATTTGAAAACATATGCACTGGACTTGGCATACGCCATATCAAAATGGTTCCGTATAGACCACAGGCAAACATAGCAGAAAGAGTTAATAAAAACATTGTAAAAATAATTCGAAGTTATGTTAGCACACATCACAAGCGCTGGGATGGCTACATAAATGAGTTAGCTTATGCTTTAAGAACGGCAAATCACGATACTACGGGAAAAACCCAGCAGAATTATTTTTAGGACGAAAGTTAATTACGCCATTAGATAAATTATTCTTTGTGCAACAAAGAGAGCAAGAATTTAAACAAAAAAGATGTGCAAAACTTATTGACCAGGCGGTTAAAAGATCGGATACGGCAAGAAATAGGCAAAAGTTATACTATGATAGAAAACGCCGTGAAGCAGATTTTAAAGTTGGGGATAAAGTGTTTGAAGCGGAAATTTTCTTTATCAAGTGCCCCAGACAATTTTACTGCAAAGTTAGCTCCAAAATTTGAAGGCCCTATGTAATTCAGGAAATCAAGGGAGTCGTATTGTACCTTAAGAACGAGAGAGAGAGGGGAAATCTGTAAAGCAAGTCCCGACCAGGTGAAAAAATATTATAATCAAAATGATTTTGAAATCCTTAAAAGTTTCTTGCAGGACTCAAGCGCAAAAAGAAGTGGAAGGTCCAGAAATAACGTCACCCGTTCCACCACCCAAGAAGCAGAGAACAGAAGAGGAACCTAGCCCTTCTACAAGTCATGCTACGGTACCGAAAAGAAGAAAGAAAAATGGTCAGACTCCAGCATTAAGAAATGCAAGAAATCAAAGCCGCGCGTAAAGAATCTTTGGTAAAGAGGAAAAACCAGTTACAACGTATCGCAGTAGAAATCTGAGTCGAGGAAAACCGCTTCCAGGGCCAGAGTCAAGAGCAAACAAGGCTGCCGTTCACGAGAACAAAAAGACAGAAGGAGGAACGAAAAGATTGCCACCAACAGAAGAAATTCAAGCAAGATTCCAGACCGGAGGCCGCCAAGACCATCCGTCCAGGGGCAAAACGGAAAAGACAGGAACCCGAAGACTACCACTCCAAGAGGCCGGCGTACAGAGGCAGTGCCTCCTAGATTATAAAGCCAATGGACAGGTTGTAGAAACAAGTGTGACGTCAAAGTTAGTAGGCCCACGTGATGTTCTCGAGGTTTGGATTCTCAATTGGGAAGCCATTGCTTTGCGGTGTACATAGACTGGAATGTTAGCACGTGCTGTCGGGGAGAAGAAATACTTGGTAAGTTCGTATTTATTGAAATGTAACTTTATATTTTGTTCATTGAAATAAACGCTTGCTATTACTAATGTTGAATTAAATTAAGTATTAATTGCTTAATTATTATAAACACACGTATACTTATTATGTTTATCTCCGTATTGATTAGCCATTATTATTATTATTAATCTTATTTCTGAATTTACTTAATATACTTTGTTTAAGTGCATCACCGAAGTTTTAATTTTATGTGTGCAGTATCTAATGTTACGTATTTTCTTTTATAAAAGTTTTTTTTTTTATTATTTCATTACTGTTTTACGAATTTTTAACCTAATCATTTATACAAAGCTTAACAGTTTTTAAAAATGTAATTGAAAGTAAACCTATACAATAAATCTAGTTAAATTAATAATTACGTATATCAGTTAACAAACGTATGTACGCTAATATGTGAGTGTGTAGAATAAAATAAATAGCTAATATGTATAGCTAATATGTGTGAGTGCATTGTATAATGAGTGTAAGTATAAGTGAGAATGGCAAACTTTTAAAGTTATGTGATCAAAGCGTTCAGTATTTGAAGAACAGTCAGTCTAGTAAAAACGTTTGTGTTTTATTGTGAGTTTAATTATGTATTAACTTATCACTATTGAAAGATGTATTTTATGTGGTTTCTAAATTTATACTGTGTATTTGCATACAATGTATTTAAATATTAAAGCAGTAAATTCATCTTAACATTCCATAAATAGTGTTTAGTTTACCAAACAAAGTCTTTCTTCAGATTTCACGTATATATTTTACTGTTCAATATTCTAAATATTCTAAACATGATTCACCTGAAGTTTGATATTATTTTCATTTGACTGTTTCAGCATGTTTTAAATATCAAAATTATCATCATTGATGCAAGTAATAATTTCAGTATAATAATAGATATCTTAATAGAAGCTTAGGTGTTCTTCAGATACGAATTTCTTGAAGTCTCATTTATTCAAATGGGCCCACCAGCGGCCGAGCGGTAAAGTCGCTGAACACTGGTAGTTCGGCCCGATTCCCGCGAACGGGCTGAATGGGCGTTTTCGTGGTTTCATGTGTAACGTGTATTGAGCCAGTTTCTTAGAAAGTCCTCCACGAAGGCATCCCTCCCCTTAGGCAGATAGCCCTCGAGGCTTTGCCATAATCACACACACACACACATTTATTCAAATGTTTGAAATTCTCCACCGTTGGTTTATGGTGTATCGAATTTCAATGTATCATTATGCAAATTTAAATTGTTATAACATTTAGTATTTATATAACTGATTTTTGTACTGTTTTTACAGAAAATATGCCATTTAAATGCTGTGTAACTGGTTGTCGGGGAAATTATAAAGGTACTGAAAAGGTGCATACATTTTTCCTTTCCCAAAAAATGATGCTCTTAGAGAGAGGTGGCTAAGAAATATACCTAGGAAGGACTTCTCAGCAACTCCATATTCTCGGGTAGGTGTCTAAGCTTTGCTTTCCTAATTAATTTATTAAGATTCAATAAATTGTTGGTAGAATACTCCTACTCTGGTATGGAAACTTTCTACAAGCTATAATTTTTACCTCCCGCCAACAGGTATAAATAGGTTTCAGTCTATAGCTTTCTATTTGTTGAATCAACAAATTACATTTCATTTACAAACAGTCAAGGGGAAATGATACTTCGAAGCTCGTTGCTGTATAAGCCATAGAATAGGCGGGAGGTCGTATGGTGGCAAGATCAGATTTTTTATAAGTAGTATTAACTGATCCTTAAATATTTGAAAAAAAAATTAATTTGCGTATATGCATTTAAAATTTAACCTGCCCAAAGCATTTAGATTTTGAATGTTTTTATTTATAAAAAGTGATACAATCTTGCTTTACAGTTTGTTGTTTTAAGAAGTTAGTTACATGATGTCTCCCTTTTACTTAACAGGTGTGCCATAAACATTTTCAACCTGATGACCTCATCTGGGAAGCATCAGCTTTCGATGAAAAAAAATGGGAAAATCATTAAAGCTTCACTGCAGAGAGGCGCCAAAACTAAAAGAAGGCGCTTTTCCTAGCATATTGATGGCTGTCCATCGTATTTATCTTCACAAGCTGGTAGTTCGAGAAAAAGTCCGAATGAGAAAAAAAATGGAACGAGAAGCAAACCTCATGATGAAAGCTATTGCTCATAGTAAATTATCAGCTGCTGAGTATTATAAATCGAGGACATTTTCAGACTTTAATGAACTTTTTAACCTGTTGTATGCAATATAAAATTTTCTACATTTTGGAACGTTAAGTGCACAAAAAGACAATATCTTGATGTTTTTGAATTTAAAATGCACTGATGGATGTGTAAAATTGCTTTATGCATTTGTCCACATTTACTGCAGATACTTTTATTATCTTGTATCGTTTCAAAATAAGTTATTGACTCATGATCAGTAGTAAGTATAATGAGTTACCATATAAAAGTAAGTAAAATATTAATGCAAAATTCATGATGAAATACTTGATCATATTGAAATGTTAGAAATTAAAGACTTAATGAAATGTATGTTAAAGTGGTAATTTGTTAAAATATGGATATACAATATCTCGTAAAGCTCTGTGGCCTACAAATTTAGAACGTCAAAGTGTGTGTGAAACTGGCTTTACAAATTTTCAACGATCAAACATCACAAGGCCTGAAAGAATTAGGAGTAAAGCATAATTTGTTAAATTTTCACGAAACATCTGCATATATTTAAATATTTTCGTCGTGGTTTTCAATAATGAATGTTATTAAAACACCAAACAAGGGGGTACATTCTTGTGATGACTTCTGTAAACCATTAGTATGGAATGAATCAGACAAGAAGTTTGTATTTTTAAATAATTTTCTTGATTGGTTGATGAAATGGAAAAAAAATGAAGAGTGATACGGGTAGGTTGACAAAAGAGACACTTTCTGCTCTTATATTAACAACAACGTGTATGATAGAAATGTGTAGGTATTGTCTAGGTGAACTCAACATGCCGTATTTTTTGCCCGGTAAAATTCAGACAGATTAATTGGAACATCGTTTTAGTTTATATCGCAGGATGGCTGGAACAAATTATCATATATCACTTCGACAGGTTTTTGAAATAGAGAACAAACTACGTGCATTTTCTGTATTAAATCTAACTATGTTATCGAAAAGTAAAGGGACAATTGTTATCGATGATTTTCTAACTCTTTTGATTTGATTAATGATACTTTCCATGAATCTATTGTAAAATATTTTCATAATTTCAAGCATATTAATGTCACAGATAATGATCTTGAAACTATGGTTGATAAATTACCTTTAATTGCATACTTGGCTGGATATTGTTGCCACTCAGTTATGAATAGGCTAAAATGTGATGACTGTGGAGGTAATTTAGTTATTGAAAAACCACTAATAATTCCTCCCAATTTCAAACATATTCATAATTGTGATAGAGGTGGGTTAAAGTACCCATCTGCTGATGTCATTAATGTAATACTGCATAATTTTATTGTCATACAGAAGCTCATAAGCCCTGAATATGAAAATAGTTTCCTCCAAGTATGTAACCAACGTAATTTAATATCCACTATGACATTAGAAATTCTTATGTGTAAGGAAATTAAAAAATTATTTCCTGTAAAAAACCATTTGTCACGTAAAATTATGCAACTGCTTATATACTCATGCACAAATACTCTTTTAAACAATTATTGTAAATTCAAAAATGATAGCTTTTCTAAATATTCAGATAAAAGAAAACTAAAAACACTTGCTATGTAAGCATAACAAACAAAGAATATATTAGAAATGTACCAATATAATTTTTTGGCCTGAAAATAATTTTAGTGCATTTCACTTTTTAATTTTAATTGCTCTCTAAACATGCATTAGTAAATATATGTGTAATTTTATTATTTTTGTAATTTAATTTCTTGTTTCTGTATTAAAATATTAAAAATAAAAATTATGGAATTGTATTGTATTTAAATATGTTATATAAATAAATAATTTTAAAGACTTCATTTGTTGTACTGTATTATTTTATATAGGTAACAGCAATAGTTGTCCATTACATACCAGCAATTAATTTAGATTTTATATTAATGTTTTTCACATCAAAATATTTTTCATTTAAAATATAAACTGTATGCTTGGATGTTACTTTTAAGTAATCTTTCGTGTTGTATATTATTATACATATGGTGATATTATTAGAAGTTTGTACGATGAGAAAACTTAGTAGGTACTATGTGTATATATTTACATGCATGATATTTTAATCACATAGGGTTAGAAATATGGATGCGTAAACCCAGAAATTCGGAAATATAATTGAATAATTTGGAAAAGATCTTGAATTTGGGAGAAACAGATGAACTTGGGGAGGGGGGGAGAAAATAAAATTTAGGATAGTCAAATTTAAGGTCGCCAATTATTTCTTAACATAGCCATCATATTTTATTATATCTTACATATGTAATTATGTGTTTGTAGATGCATCTGAAGAAGCTGTTGGGAAGCACCCAGGATGGGAACCTACATCCAAAGTTGGTTTTCATTCTAGAAAATTAAGGTCTTATGAGCAAAAAATTATGCAATTACTGAATTTAGAATGTTTTGTATTAATGATGATGCAGATAAATTTTATTAATACTTACTTCAGTAATTATTTTACTGTACATACTGATCACGCTGCTTTAGTTTGGCTTAAGAACATTAAAGATCTTACAGGTAGGTTATTTAGATGGTCTTTAAAATTATCTATGCATGATTTTGATATAAAATATGAAAATAGTTCTACTAATATTGAAGCTGATATGTTAACTAGAAATCCTATTTGTCAACATTTCAAGTTTGGAAGTTAATTTATTCTCATTAGAAGAAATTAAAGAGCATCAAAAATTTAGATAATGTATATAATCCTAAGTATAAAGAAATTAATGATGTGTTAACTATTAAAAAGCAAGGATTATACAAAATCATAATAGCAATCTCTCTTTGTACTAAATTACTTTAAAAGGCTCATATTAATCTTGTCAATATTATTGGTCAGGAATTGTCTGTCCAAGATGCTAAAATTTTTTGTAAACATTGCGAAGTATGTCAGTTTAATAAGAAAAGTAAACAAAAGAGATTTGGTTTAATGTGAACCTTTTGAATTATTATCTATTGATACTGTTGGTGGTTTTTTAAACTATTATAATTATATTAAAATGTATATTCACTTAATTATTGATCATGCTACTCATTAAATATGGATTTTTTTGCTTCTAAAAGTGTAACTACAGATAGTTACATAAATAGTTTAAGACAAATTTTTCAAATTCAAGTACCAAAGAAAATTTTAAATGATAGAAATGCTTCTTCTTCCAAATTTAAGCACTTTTTAAGAAATCATAATGTAATAAAACAATTATTAAACTACTAACGGGCCTCAAACTAATGGTAAAGTTGAACGAGTTACTCAAACAAATATAATTAAACTGTAAATTAAATTCTTATCAGGCTAATATTGCATTGCACAAACAAAATTGTTACCTCAAGTTACTGAATGTAATAATAATACACCTCATGTGTTGCAAAATTCCCGCAATCTTATTTAATGTATGGAAAATTGCCTTATGATCCTCTACTTGAAAAATGAAGAAGTCTGTCCACCAATCCTTTCTTAACATAGCCAGAGTATTTAATTATTATATATATATATATATATGTTATAATTTCCACACATTGAGAGTATATTTAAGACTAATAAATGTAAATTTTCCTTGATGAAATTTTAAATTCTGATTTTCAAGGAATACGATTTTATGAAAACATGATATTATGTCTATAGATGAGATAAAAACAACATATCAGAAATTTTTAAGATATTGAGGAATTTTGGTTTTCAGAACTAATTTTTAATTGAATGATTTGAAAATTCAGCATCTACTAATCGTTTTATAAAGCCAAATTCGATATTCAAGATCAAGTTTTGCTGGACTAAGTATCAAATCTTATTACATTACATATGAAATTTTAATGCATCTTTAATGAGTTTTATTGCTCTTGCATTGTAATGTTCAAAGATATTCCGATAGTAAAATAAATTTTTTATTGCGGAAATATAGTTTCTGGATTATTCTGAGAGTTCATTATTTAACGCAAATTCATACTCGTATGCACGGAGAAATCGCTATCGGAAGTTCCGCCGTTTCATATTCTACGGCCTAGTGCTCGTGACGTCACAGACCAGTCCGACGGCTTTATATCTAGGAGGCACTGACAGAGGGCGAAAAAGAAAAGTCACCACGGACGAAACTCGAAGAACCCAAAGGCGAAGATTGACTTCTATGAATTCCATATTTTGGGAGTAATTCTGCCAGAAGAGGATGTCGGAGTTCCAAGAATCGAAAACTCAAAGATAAGTTAAAATCTTCTATAAATTTTTTCTTTTGTTCTGAAATGTTATGCGTAAATACGAAGTTCTATGTTTTGACGGAAGTCAATTTGTCTCGGTTGAGACTTAGTTTTGTTTTACTTTATTTAGCTAAGACAAAAGTATTATTTTCTTTAAGTGTAAAATCTAAGAGCAAGCAGTTCCTGTTGGTCGAAAGACTAATTCTGTTATGTTAAAGCCAAAATTTGGCCGAAAGTAAAATAACTTCGTATTCTTGTATTAATGAAAAATTTAGTTTCAGTGCCGCCAGCTTGGCGAAGAAAGCGTGAAGTAAAATTTTATTTTTATCTATTCATTATATGGTAAATTGTAAAAATCATATGTATTAGAATTTTGTAAATATACGTAAATACTTGAAAGTTATGTAAAAGTAGAATTTAGTCTAGAAGCATATAAAATTTTAGATGCTAAAAGTAAATACTCGAAAGAAAGAAAATGAATTCAAATTTAAGTATTAAACTGTAGATAAAATCATGCTTTAGAGCGAAAGCCTGCATGTCTAAAGATGAATGAGGGGAATTAGAATTAGAATGAATGTGTTTTGTAGGGTTCTCCACCTACACTTGAATTTTAAGAATGT